TACATAATTTTCTTTTATACTTTTATATTTTTATTATATATATATATACTAGATTTGGACCTGTGTATTACACGAGTTAATGACAAAAATTAAACGAAACTGATATGTATTTTATAAAGAATTAATAATCGGGGGTAATTTATAAACTTAGACAAAAGTACAAATCCGATTAAATTTTTGATATAAAGATGCTCTTACTCGAGAATTAAATGTTACATATACAAAGGACGGCATGTGCTTCGATGATCAGAAAAACTTCTAAATGAAGACGAACATTGTAGATCCAATATACAGCGCTGCGTAGTACATGCAGAGCCTTTGTATACCTTTGTATGAGACAAGCAAAGGGAATCAGAGGCTCTAGGTAGTACATGCAAAGATAGAACTCTTACTCAAGACAAGTACAGAGCCTTTATGAAGCTCTGTATGAAGGAAGGAGGCAGGGTCAAAATGACCCCGTAGCACCTGTAGAACCTCTGTTAAGCTCTGTATGAAGAAAAAAATCAGGCTTCAAGGACACAAGCGTAAAGAAAGTTTGCAGAGGTTAAGACAGAAACTATTCAGAGTTACAAGTCTGAAGGCTATCTTCGGAGTAAGAGACAGAGCCTCGACGCATTTCGTGAAGAGTCAGAGCTCTTTCTCAAGACTTAAATGCAGAACCTCTGTGCAGCTCTGCATGAAACACGGAGTCTGGTTCAGATTGACCGCATAGCATGTGCAGAACCTCTGTTAAGCTCTGTATGAAGGACGAAATCAGGCTTGACAAACACAAGTGCTAAGAAATCCTCCAGAGTTCACGACGGACAATATCTAGCGTTGCAAGACTTCTAAATCAAGACGACCAATCTGGCTACAAGTGTGAAGTTCTTTTCAAGAGTTAATTACTAAAATTAGCCAATGCTACAAGTTTGTATAAATTTTCCGTTGTCTTAGAAATAAACCAACTTTTGATAATGATTGTTCTTGGCTCTTATTAAATTAGAAAAACTCTGGACATTAACTCTGAAAGAAAACTCTGAACATTAACTCTGAAACACAAGAATTCGGAATTCTATTGTTAGACTGGAAAATAACTCTGGASTTAACTCTGAATAAGAGRAATTCAGAGTTGTCTTCTAAGTCTAKAAAGTATTTACGAGCATAACTCTGAGTCACAAGAATTTTGATTTCTTATAACTCAGAAACGTAACTCTGAAGAGGAGTTTAGAGTTGTATTCTAAGTCTGGGAATAAACTATATAACTAAGTTTGGAACAGAACAATTCAGAGTTATATTGTAAGTCTGAGAAATAACCACTATCTGATGACTTCATGTTGATGATTTGTATTACTAATGTCATTTAAGTGTAATGAGATTAAATTGTTGACCAATGTAATCATGATAAATATTGAACAGGTAAGACATGTGCTGAGTGCACACTTGTTTGAGTTTATTTTTCCCGGGTAATATTGCTTTGTGAAAAATGCTTCAAAAATGCGAATTTGAAATTTTAAACCCGGTTTTGATAACCACTTCAGAGTTAAATTCAGACGTTATGTTGTAAGTCTGGGGGCCGTAAGTGAAAATTGTGTTTTAGGCGGGAAAAATCAACAACCGTCGCACAGAAACGTGACACGTGTCCCCAAAGTTACTTATTTATTAGTATTATAGATATGCACTAGTATTAGAATTTTATTCTACTTATTTAAATATTTTTAAAATTGTCAATTTGAAAGTGATTTTATTATGTAATATAAATACAAGTTTCGATTAAATTTAAATTGTTTTCAGTAGTTGTAATATTATATTCGAAACCATGCTAAAAATATAGTGACTTAAAAAATGAAATTATTTTTACAATAAGTAGTATTTCAAATTTCTTAGGTTATTTTAATATTATGAAAATAATATAATTTGATTATTTTAATAATGATCATTATTATTTTATTGTTTTGACTAAATATTTTTTTATAAATACTCAATTGTTTATGTTTTTTTGTATTGATGTTTAATTAATATTTTGTATATATAAGACAACTAAAAAATAAATGATTATTTATGGGTCATGGATGCTTTCACTCTATACACATACACATATTCATCTTCTTCACATCTTCATCTCTTATCTCTTCACTTTTTTCTTCATATTATATATTATATAGTTATTAGAAAATAACTAGAAAGATACTCGCACAATACAACGAGAGACATCTCGACCTTAATGTTTCGTTTTCTTTTGTTCAAACGATGTTATAATAAGGTTTATATGGTTTTGAAAAGACGATAATGTATTTATTTTTGAATAAAATATAAATATTAAGATATCATAAAAAAATGAAAAAAAATATTCATATTATTATCAAACTAACTATTTAATTTTTTTTTTTGTGTATTTCTTGAATTCGTTTTTTATTTTTGGTTTAATAAT